TGGTCAGGATGCTTTTTTTGAATATGAAAATAATACTTTGTATTAAAGAAGTATTTATTATTATTTTTTTTTTCATTATATTTATTGAATTTTTATGACATAGAAGAAAAACAAGTGATACCCTTAATACAGATTCACATTAAATAACTCAGTCCCCGAAACGCAAATAAAAAAAAAATAAAAAAATAAAAATAAAAAATAAATAAAAAAATAAAAATAAAAATAATAAAAAATAAATAAATAAATAAATAAAATAAATTTAAAAAAAAAAAAAAAAAAAAATTAAAACTCAACCCTTTCTGCACAGTTCCCTTAATGTCCTTTGTAATGTTTCAGAAACTTGATCAATGGTGACAAAAAAATATACATCCTAATTTAACGTTTTGAAATGGCTAGTCTGAAGGTGCTTAGTCGGGGAGGAGCTGTGTCTCGAAGGCGGGGCTTGGTCCACCCTGATGTTTTGAACAGCTGAACGGTTGCTATGGAGATTAAAGGATGTCTCAAACATGCCTGAAAGAATCAGATTTGTTTCTGATGAGAGAAAAACCTTGATGTAAAGATAGAAAGCAGATTTTATGTGGTACTGGCCCTTTAAGGAGTAAAATCAGGTTAATTTGTGTTGATAAAGTTCAGTTAAACATGTGAGACACAGGCACATCCACTGAGAATGATCTTCCTTCCACAATACTTTCTTCTGGCCCATTGAATGAAGCCTCTGGCATTGATGATGAAGAACTCACCATTCCTCCCAGTCATCCCAGTAAGTTTCCACTGTGTCTTCATTCTGGATAGATTGAAAGATTTCTGAGCTTTGTTTCTGTTTCTGTCACATTCAGGTCCAGTTGGACATTTGTTAAACCTTCTGAAGGTCAGAGGTCATGACGACATGACGGTGGGGACGTTTCCGTAACGAGACGAGGGACGGAGGGACAACGAAGATAAAAACTCCTAAACGCCCCGCTTCCTCCTGAGGAAAAGCCAGCAGATTTAATTTGAACTTTAAAGGCTTTTCAATAAAACAGAGCAGCTGGCAGAGACACTTTTCCATTCCTGAGACGGAGGGACGGACCGGGACAGACAGCTGGACGCAACAAACCAGTCCAATGAAAGCAGCTGATGGAGGACGAGACAGTAAGGCTAATTAGCATATCAGTGTTTGCACAAGGAAGTGGGCTACAAGACACTGAATAAGGGTAATTATTTAAGTAAGAACAGAGGCGCTGGCGCATTATTACTGGCAATTTGTCAAACAAACAATTATCATCAAGGAAGGAAGAGCTGCAGCAGAAACAGAGCCGGGTTTCTGCTGCAGCTGATGGGACACTGCAAGATCAGAGACGCACAATACGGAGGCAAATATGTGTCACCAGGATTTGGATAAAAGATACCACTGAAATTTTAATGCTTTTGCTCACTCTTTCAGTGCTAAAATATATTCAGAATAAATTTTTAACATAAAAAACCGTCATAAACGTCTGTTTTCGTTGGACAGTGGAACCTCAACTATTTTTCTGGGGAACATGACTCCAGATTGTTTGCTGAACATTCCCCTGATCTGAGATTTCTTCCAGATGTAAATGTAAATGTAGAAAGGTTTTCTGTTGCTTTACTGACTGATCAGCGAAGTGTAATTATTGGTACAATAAGCCGTTTGTTTAACTAAGCAAGTGGAAATGAAATCAACTCCTTTGAGATCACTTACCAGATGAAAACATTCATCAGTTCTAAGTGTTTTAGTTGCTAATAAATAAGAACCTGAGCTGATTTTATGAATGTGGATAAATACGTGAAATGAAAACCAGCAGGGAGACGTGATAAAAACAAACATCTGCCCGTTGTGCTGCTCTCCAGGTTTCACGCAGAGCAGATCCTGAACATGTTTGACCTGCTCAGAGCGATCAGCATGCCCAGGCCGCCACACCTCAGACTGATGGAAACACTCTTCCTGCTTCGATAGGGTCTCGGCGCTCCCAGAGGGAACAGACGAACTGAGCATCAAAACCTCGATTATCTCATAAAAATCATCTGTAAAGTCTCTCTTTAGCCTTCAGGAAATCTCAGATCAGCAGAAAACATTTGACAGTTGGATGACTGAATTTTCCATAATATCAAATTAAATTGTTAGTTTACTGATGCTAATTGTGTTAGCTATAGGTTAATTCTAAACTACGCATCACATTGGAAATCTATATTTTTTATACCAAGGGCAGACAAACACTAACAGTGTAATGAAGATTCAATACTCTTCAGTACAAAAGATGTCACAAATTCTTGCTAGCTGGCTACATGTTGCAGATGCTAATGATGCTTCCTGCTAGCGCGAGGCTAACACTGGAGCTTAACCTGACAAAAAAAGGGATTAAAAACAGATAATGCTAAAATTATGTTTTTTTAAATTACCTTAAGTAAATTTGTGTAATTAACTTATTTTTCAGAGTTTAGCTATGCTAATTTGTATTCTACTGATTTGTATTCTACTGATTTATTAAACAAATACTGCAAAGCTTTCAGGCAAAGCAGTTTGTTTATTTTTATCACACATTTTCAGCAGCAAGGTAATTCAAAGTGCTGTATATGGTAAAAATAAAATAAAAAAAGCAAAAACATTTCACAGTAATGGTACAGCAAGTTATTGTTTACAACAACTTGCTATTTTTACGTAAGCTAACACAGATTAATTTGCTAAGCTAAGTTAATGCACCATTTAATTACTTATTTATTAAAACTGTGGGAAGCTTACCTAAGCTAACACCTTTACTTTTTAGCAAATGTTGCTAAGCTAAATTAAGCTAATAGGACAATTTATCTGAGCTAACTGAAGCTAATAAGAAACTGAATGTTTTAGAGGGATTAAACTTTTGACCATCTTTGATAAATCCTGAATAAATTTCAATTTAAGGTTTTATCATGTTAGATAAAATAACATGAAAAGAGAAAATGAATGTTTTTTTTACTAAAAATTAGAGTTTCTCTTGGACTGCTTGCAGTTCTGGTTCATCTTAGTTGTATTTGTTATTTTCTCAGTTTTCCTCAGGAAAATCTTTGCGGTGATTCTCAGCCTTTCATCTTCATCCTCATTTCTCTGACGCTTCTGTTTGGCGGAGGAATAAATTTCACCTTTGATTTTATAACACAATGCTACACCTGCTTGTTATGTTTCTCCACATCTAAATCACAAAAGAAATGATTTAGCTGAAGAAAGAGAAGCAATGTCAGGACCGTACTCAGTAGAAATAATGAGCCTCCCTCAGTAATGTCTGAATAATTACTTATTCAGAGCATGAGAAGAAAAGTCCATTACTGCGTTTTCCGTGTTTCAGCACAACTTTTGCTTCTGCACTGGCAGCATTTTCCCGTCTCCGCATGAACAAAACAGCTGTTCGTCTTTATTTTTAAAAACACAGCAGGGTGCAAAACTTCATGACCTCCAGCATAAAAATATGTAGTTTGACATCAGCTTTGCTTGGAAGAAAAAGCTGACCGGGATTAAAACGCTCTGACGGCGTCACACCTTCATCTGGATTGGAGTTTGGTTTCTGCCGTCGTCAGTCATGAGCTCCGCTGGAGATGCACGAAGTGAAGAAACGGCAGGTTTCAGGCTCAGTCTGGGGGAAAATCACACGTTTAATCATATTCTTCATGCAGGTGCAGAAAACTGCAAAACTGCATTTTCTTTGCATCACATGATGAATGTGATCAATGACTGGATGTTACCACTACTGGAAATGACAAAGATGATGACAGGAGTGATTGGAGGGCTGTGTTTTCTTTAAAGGTGACATCTTATGCAAAATTTATATTTATACTTGCATTTGGATTAAACTGCTTCTAAAAACTGACTAAGCACTTTAAAAAACACCTGACGGTTTCTAGCAATGACTTCATGTTTTTTGATGTCTAGAAAATAAGATTTTTTTTCCCAAAACCTGCAGAATGTAACGTCACAAATCAGCAGGCACTGCACCGTTACCTAGCAACCCCACCTGGTTACCTAGCAACCAGGCAGGTCCTCCAGCAGGTCTGTTCGGCTGGTCTTAACACTGTATGCGCCGTACAATGGCTGCTGGGAAAAAAGAGTTTTGTTGTTGACTCACCATCCAGAAACCTCTTGTTGTGCAGGACGCTCCACTTGTGCTTTTCAAAGATGTACAATTACACTTCAGTTTGCATCCATTTTCACTGTGAGTATAAACTTTGAGTTGGGGGCGTGGCCAGCAGGATTTAAAGTGACAGAGACCCTAAGCAAATTGAAATCAGGCAGAACTGAGCAGAATAAAATCATTTGACCTAATAATGATTCTGTAGGAAAAATGTGTGACCATGTTTTGTGTAGACCATAAACTGATCCTAACCTATTTAAGGAAGTATAATAAGTCATCTTTAATGATTTATCACATGAACAAACTTATTCATGTATAATTTTAGTCGCAGTACTTAATTAATGGAAACAGTGCAACTGTAAAATTGTTTTCAACAAAGTTTTGAGCTCATTTGTAAAGGAAACACGACTTGTGATGCAGCGCAGAATTGTGGGAAGTTTAACCAAAGTGGTGGTGACGTTATCACTGTAGCCGAAAGAAAAGTGAAACTCATACAATACTGATAAATATCAGTAATTGGCCATAGCAGCAATATGAATATCGGATATCAATATCGACCCTAATTTTCAAATTGGTGCGTCACTAATTTTTATTGCAATTGATGTTATTTAACGTGAACACTTCACATCTATTCTCTAAGAAGGACACCTTCTTTCTTCTTTATTTTCCTTTGTTTTTCTCTGTTTTTCTCCTGCAGCCGCCCTGAAGCCTCCGGTTCCTCTGTTAGCTAGTGGCTAGCGGTTAGCGCTGTCAGCTTCTGATCAGCAACAACCTGCTTTTTTCTCCGACTCTCCGTCTGTTTCTGGCAGAAACACGTTGATGCGGCACTGCACCAAATGCATTGTGGGCCGTCCCAGCCTTGATGGCTACTTCCCTCCTCATACACACCCTGAACCCTGCCTGCCCGCGTGCCACTGGGTGTCAGCCGGGTCGGCTTTGTGGGATGGAGGCTGTTCAGAGGACGTCTTCTGAGGAGATAAGCGCAGCCTGCTGTGGAATACAAATGGGCTTCTTAGCATAGCAGAGGTGAAGGGAAGCGCGATAACGCAGAGGAGATGTGTCACTGCTGGAGGAATGTGGGCCTGTGATAAATGTGCATTCTGTTGAAAAGTGAAGGGGCTTCTTTCATGAAACTGGCTGACGAAAGATATGAATGAAAGTTTTCTTTTTTTGGTGCCCTTTCTACAAAGATAACCTGAACCTTCACTTTTTCCCTCTTTGGAGCTCTTTTCCTTCCTGATGTCTTCAGTTTCCTATAGTATCGCTCCGATTGCATCAACTGCAGCACCGGCCTGAAAACATCCACCCAGCCTGCAGCAGTCAGTCAGCAGATCGATGCACTTATTCATCTGGAGCAGATAAAACTAAAAAACTCAAAATTAACTTTTTATTTTCCTCAGTCAGTTCCTAAGGATTCTGTCTTTATGTTTCCTTATGTGCAAATTTTGACATTTTTGTGAAAATTTGTTTAATTTCGCGATATTTAGGATAAAACCATGTCAGTGCTGCCCTCTTTGGGAAGAACTGTGGTAGTGCAGTTGGATTTTCCTATTGGTTACAGCAGATTGGTCTATGACTGACTCAGACACGAGGCAATTTGGCAAAATAATAAAAAATGAAATCTGAAAAAAATATTTTGAAAAACTAAAATCTGTAAAAAGAATAATTTGAAAAAATAAAATATGAAAATTAAAATGTGAAAGAAATAAAATCTGAACATTTTAATTGAACAATAAAATATGTAAAAATAATTTGAAAAACATAAAATTTGAAAAAAATTCAATCTGAAATAATAGAATTTTATAATATCTTAAATCATAATTTCAAAACTAAAATCTACAAATCTACAATACAGCAAACGACGTCACAGCAGGTTCATCTATGGCAAACACATTCTAAATTACTCTCAACACAAAATCTTTTTTTTCAATTTCAATTTTCATACGTGAATCCGAATAATCTGATGAAAAGGCCTGACCTTTGACCCTCCTGCATCTAGTAATGGTTTGCTTCTTGAAAATGTCATAACTTTGGTTTTAATGTGATAAAACATGACAGGTTTAATGAACAGGAAAACATTTCTTCATGTTCTGATTCCTCTCAGCTGTGAGATAAACAAACATGGCCGCTCTCCTCTTCCTGCGTATTTCTCCCTTTAACCTTCTGAATTTGCTTTAATATTCATAGAGATGAATCCTGAGGGGAATCCAGCATGTCTCACTAATTTATGTGCGATGGGTTTTATTATTCCACCGGCTGATTTGAAATGCAGGACTGCAGGAGGGAAGAGAGGAACCTGCTGGCGGCTCGTCTCAGCTTTTCAGCAGATCACCGATCTCCAGCCAGAGGCAAAACTCCTCCATCCGCTCCATCCATCCGCTCCATCCATCCGCTCCTTCCATCCGCTCCATCCATCCATCCGCCCCATCCGTCCACTTCCTCCATCCGCTCCATCCATCCGCTCCATCCGTCCACTTCCTCCATCCGCTCCATCCATCTGCTCCATCCGTCCACTTCCTCCATCCGCTCCATCCATTAGCTCCATCCATCCACTTCCTCCATCCGCTCCTTCCATCCGCTCTACCCTTCATTAGAAATTTTTAGATCAATCTCAGAAATTTTCTAGAAATGTTCAAATTCTGAATTTTTACAAAAGTAAAAGATTTTCAACTTTATGAGCTCAGAAAATTTCTCATTTTTTTTCTAAAACATTTCTGAGAGTTTTCTTCTGGCAACTTTTTAACTTTCAGAGCTCAAAAAGTTCCAAGTATTTTTTTAGAAACTTTGTGGCAGAAATCTCAACGTTTCTCAGCTTTTTCTTGGAAATTTTTGACCTTCAGATCCTAGAATTTCCACATTTTTTCTGGAAAATGTCTGAGATTAATTTTAATTTCTTTTAGTTTTTTTCTTGCAAATTTTTTACTCTTGGAGCTCAGAAATGTTGAAGTTTTTTCTAGACAATTTCTGAGATTTATCAGAACATTTCTGAGTTTTTTCCTGCAAACGTTTGACATTAGGAGCTTAGAAATTTTCACATTTGTAGAAAATTCCTGCAATTAATCTCAAAATTTGATTTTATCTTCTCAAAATGTTCAACCTTTGGACCTCAGAAATTTCCAAGTTCTTTCTAGAAGACTTCTGAGATAAATGTCAACATTTTTTATTTTTCTTGCAAATTTGAAACTTTCTGAGGTCAGAAATTTCCAGGTTTTTTCGAGATCATTTTAAATGAAGAAAATTGTTTTTATCTGAATAAATACAATATATTTTAAAAACTCATTTTTATATTTATTCTGACCATTTCAGCCTGATATTAACGTTTATTTATCTGAAACCTTTAAGTGTGATGAGGACAATGGAAGGCAAAACGTCACCTGGGACACAATGTGCCCGTTGCCACGGTAACCACTGAGTTTGGCACCTTCTCATTAGCAGGTGAGGAAAAGCACCAGAATAAAATCTGAAACCAGAACCAGAGTTAGTCTGTGAGCTGGGTCCAGTCCAGCGGCTTCATTCAGAACCAGAAGAAATGAATCAGAACCGGAAAAGAACCGGAATAAATCCTCCAAGGTCTCCTTCACTGCCACTGCAACAAATCAGTCGCTAGAATCAAACACAGTCTAGTGACCGACACATTTTACAGCCAGTTGTTTTTGTAGCTACAGGTTTTAGCTCAATATAAGGTTCAATCTGGTTTCCATGGCGCAGGAATCCAACCGGACCACCGGCTGGACAGAACAGAACCAGAGTCAGTAATCATGACTGTGAAGTCGTTCTGCAGGTCAGACTTTGGACACAGTCTTCTCGGCAAGCTTTGGAAGTCATTAAAATATTTATTTCAAGGTTCAAAAACTGAGCCAGAATTTCACCTATTTCAAATATTGTGATTGGTTTTATTCAGTAACTTTAAGTGCATTATTTTATATCTTTGTCACCATTTTACTGCATTTACTTCTGATCTGAAACCGACTGTTAAAGGTCATTCTCTGGACGAGTTTAGACTGCAGGCATCAGATTGTTTTGATCTAACAAACAATAAAATAAAATAAAATCTGTGTCTTTACTCGTGTTGGACTCATGTTTAGTTCCAGTTTTGGTCTGATGAGTGTTTTGTTTCTTCAGCTTAAAATTTCGTTGTGGAATGTGGTGAGTGGGTTGACATGGAGGTGATTTATGGAGTTTGATATAATAATCTTTTACAACATCCAACATGTTGTAAAATGTGTCGGATGTTCTGGTAGCCGAGGTTCTGCTGCTGGGTTTGGTGTCGCCATGTTGGTCCGACCGTCGTTTCCACTAAACGCTTCTGAAATCCACCATCTGGCTTCTGAAAGGGAAAAACTGTTTTAATGGTTTCCATGCAGATTTAAAACATTTTCAACAACATTAATGTTCAAGGACTGAGTCACTTTATGAACTTTGCTGCCATCGCTCATGTTTCCACCAGACACTGAAACCAAAACGTCTCGACAGCAAAGCAGCGACTCTCTGAAAACCAGAGAAGTTCAGATGGTTTCAGGAATTATACAGCGTTTAATTTATTGATCTCAGCCAGCTTGATGTGCGGGATGTTACATTAATTCTCAGATGGCGTTTGATTTGGCGTTATCAGAGTCGGTAACAGGAACACAGCTGTGCTGCTGAGGGAGAGAGAGAGAGCAGGCGAGCGACAGAGCTGCGACAAATCAGACACAAAAAACCCAAACGGGCTTCATTTTTCTGATTTGGCCCATTTTACAGCCCAACATGAGAAACGGGAACATTCTTTATTCCCTCTGCTCCCTGTGCTACAGTCTGTCAGTAATCAACAACTTGATCTGTATTTAAATTCGTTTTTATTAATCAGAGCGTGACCAACAGTATTTACTCAAAACTTTGTAAATATTCCACCATTGTAAAAAAACAAACAAAAAAAAAACAAAAACACAATTTCACAATTATGTTTCCATTAAATAAGAAACGTGAATAAGTCATTAAGAAACCTGCAGCACAATCATCCTCCAATCATGTTGTAATCTTTTGTTTATTTGCATTTTGAAGAACTGCATTGATAAAGGTTGATGGACATAAAAAAAACTTTCTAAATTTGGCAACAAAAAAAAAATCAGAAGAAATGGATCTCCTCTGCCGTCTCTCAGTGCTAACTAGGAACAACCAATCAGAGGCAGGAGGTGGGGCCTAGCGCTGTCAATCACCTGCTCTGCTCTGTGCTCGTCTGTGGTGAGTCAGCCTGGACAGCGGCTCCTGTGGAAGTCACCGACTGAGTGTTGATGAAACGCTGAGTCATGGCGTCTCCTCGGCTTCATGAGTCGCTCATTGCCGCCATGACTCAGCAAACCTGCCATGACGCATCAGCTACAAGTGTTCTTTAACGAGCCGACATCTGAAATAATATCTTTGATGGACAGTCTGAAAAGAATATTTGTTTTTTAATTATTTTGTCCTGTTTCCTCAATCTTCTGAGCTTTTAAATTATCTTTAGCTTTATTTTTTGACAGTTTCAGTCTTTTATTCTTCATGTTTTTAAATAATTTTATTAATTGCATTAAATTATAGTGCATGTTACTCAAGTAAACCCGGATTTCATTTTAGCTCCAGTACCTTTGGACGGTTCTGGTTCTGGTTTGTAAGTTTCCTCATCATGATTCTGAGCTGCTGCTTTCCTGCAGTAATACTCTGAGTTCAGACCGGTTCTGGTCCGTTTTAAAGCAGTTCTGCTCCTTTTTTCTGAGCCCAGAAACCCAGAACTGCCAATCAGCTTCACATCAAAGCAGAAACATCTCGACCTTAAAGGGCCAGAATCACATAATCACATAATAGCATTTTTAAAGTTTTCCACCTTATTGCTATTCTCATCAGAAACAAACCTGAAGTGTTGCTTTGATTCTTTCACGCATGTTTGAGAATCTCCATGGCAACCATTCAGCCACAAAAGCCTGGGTGGCCTAGCCCCGCCTTCGAGGCACAGCTCCTCCTCAGAGAGACAGAGGCCTAATTTAAAGGCCTTAAATCAGGAAGTAAAGTTTTTTTTAAGCCATATTATTAAAAACTGAAGGTAGCATAGGTACTTTATTGTACTACAAAGAGGAACGATGTTGTCTCTTTAACAGTCTATCAAATTATCTATAAACCAAAATAAAGTGAGTCAGTAAAGTTTTAAGTCTTCTTAACTAGCTGGATGTGGTGAAGGCAGTTCACCAAACTAAGTTTTATCTTCATCTGGTTTTAATTGCTTGTTGAGAAGATTGGTCTGAATTTGAGCAGATTCCTACATTAATGTCACCGTTTAGATTTAATTCTCTTTAGTCCTGATCGGATTCCCACTGACGTGCTGCTAATTTCTGCATTAAGAGCACAACCGGCCTGAGTTACTAGTTGCCACGGTGACCGTCGTCAAGCTGATTTGGCTGGTCAGGAAACGTCCCATCCCATTTCAAGGTGAAGGAGGCAAACGAGCTGAGTGGAAAACCAGATTAGCGGCGTTCACATCGGTTTGGTCACGCTTCCCTTCGCCACACAAACAGATCTGGACAAAGTCACCCTGCTCTACGCTGAAAACACGTCTTATTTCTATTAATCACTGGACCAAGCCGCCTCCACTTCATGTGATTTATTACGCTTTAATTGGTCTGGATTTATAGATTAATTGTCGGTGACACAACGCTTTAAAACGACATTTTACTGCACAGACTGCCAGCAGATCTACAGACTGCTTCATAAAATCTGTACTTGTTTGTGTTCAGTTATATTCTTCTAAAGACAAATTCAGAAAAAGAATTAATTAAAACCCATATAACAACAAAATAAGTTACATTTTCAAATTAAGTCAAATGATTGAATAGACAAACATTTGAGACTCAAACTTATTGTTTTTATCTTTACAGAGTTTCAGGAAGTTCTTATCATTCATAGAGCTTCTTTATTGATGTGGACTGTGGACGCTAACATTAGCATTAGCTGCTGTGTGTTTAGCATTGAGATGCTATTTTAGGCTAGCAAAGCTTCACTAGGAGGCTAACTCCTTTTAGCACAACTTGAACACAATAAATCAGATTGATTAGAAGCAGAAATGAATCCCCAGTGGGACCAGAGAAGTGGCTTCGTCGCTGTTGTTAGCGGGTTTAGCTTGTGCATCAGATTTACGGTGGTACCAGAAACACAATACAAAGGTTCTGGTTGGAAACTTTGTCTGTTATAACCAAAGAGCCTGCTCAACATTAAACACTTTTTTTTTATGAAATCTTTATATCATTAAAGATCCAAAACATAAAAAGGCTTCAGGCCTTATTAACTTATTAAACAAAAAACATACAATAATCTTTTGTTTTTGGTTCATCAGTTGTTTTCTGTTTTATTGGCCAAATTATTGCCAAATTTCTTGACTTGTGGTCAGGGGCCGAACAAAATCCTTTCAAGGACCACTGGCCCCCGGGCCACACTTTGGACCTGGTGCTGTAAAATTAACTGAGAGAACCAAAACTTAAATAAAATCAAGATGTAAATGGCTTCCAGTACTGAAATGTTTTGTTGGATCACATTTTGTTTTTAGTTTTTATCCAGAACTTTCCCTCTGGGTCTCTGGCTGTAGTCAGTCTGGTGTCAGCGCCACGTCACACTGCGCTGCACAAACGGGCCTGAACCTGAGACGACTGCTCCGGTTCTGCAGAACCAAGACCGGCCTCAGTGTGCATGTGTGTGTGTGTGTGTTTGTGTCTGTGTGTGTAGTAGTGCTGACAGCTCTGCTTACAGGACAAGATCATAACATCAGCCTGCAGCCTTGTCTGGTTTGCTAACGTTGTGGCTCTTTAAGCAGCTTGAATCCTGGTTGGATAATAAAGAGTCGGCTGCTGTGACTCGTTACCATGACGACCCGATCACCGCTGCGCTGCCGTTGGTCTCCATCACTCTGTGTAATCATCCCCGGAGTTTCTTTACGAGCTCCCGGTCGCTCCGGGTCTCAGTTCCTGTAACGAGTCATTTGTTCACGGCTCTCGTAAAGAGAGGTGCTCTACGCACCATTAAGATTAATGCATCCTTAAATGGCTGCTTAACTGTAACATAAATGTTTTCAGAGCATGACGTTGGATGATTTTCACCTGTTAGAGTTGATCATAAAACTGATTCTGCTTCTGGGAAATAATCATGTTCACATATAATCAATCAATCAATTATGTTTATTTGTAAAGCAGTTCAAAGTGCTGTAAATCATAAAAACATGAAAATCAACAATTTATACATTATTACACATTTAAAAGATGGTTAGTTTTCATTTAAAAAAGCAACTCCAACAGGTGGCTTTAGTCTAGATTCACAGGAAGCACATTATTCATGATTTATCATAGATCCAAACTAAATATTTAGTTTACAAACAAATGTTTTAGCTTGCAACTTAAATATTCTGTTAAAATAAATATTTAATTTAGAGCCAAATATTTAGTTTACAAACTAAATAGTTACTAATTTCAATATTTAGTCCAAAATTTTAGCTTCCAAATTTAAATATTCAGTTAGAAAAATAAGTATTTATTTAAACTAATTAATTTAGAGCAAAAATATTTATGCTATGTTTTCAGCTTGCAAATTAAATAGTTATGACACTTTGACACAGTGTCATAACTATGACACATTTATTTTTAAATGACAGAAAATTAAATATTTAGTTTCACTTTTTAGTTCCTTACTTAAATATTTGTTTTCCTATTAAAATATTTCATTTAATTAATAAGATGATTAACTGCATTAAAATCTTTAATTAATTTGATTAATTAATTGAAACAAACACGTTTAGTTCCTCATATTTTCTTAGCAGATCCTCTATAATAACCTTCATATAAATGAGAGGAAATGAAGTCACAAACTCATAATTATGGCAACATTTAGCTACTGAAGTCCATTTAACGTCTGGACGTTTCGCTGTGATTCTTCTAATCACAGGAATGTTTTTTTTTTCCTCTAAGCTTCAGCTCCGTTTCCATCAGATTAAATTGAACCTCTGGTCTAAAAAAGGTGATATCTCAAGTGGAGGACAGAACGAACTCGTTCATTTTCAGAGTAAGAGGGAAATTGAAGTGAATAAATCTTTTTATTGGTCCGACGCTTTGTGTCGGTTTTCCACTGCATAGCAGCTGATGAAAGGCTGGCGGTGCAAAGCCAATCAGCTGAGGTCCTGTGTTTTTATGAAAAGAGAATTATTCTAATGCACATTATGGACGAATCGCCCTCGGAGGCACGTTTTATCTCTCTGCTGTTAATTAAGATGGAGGCAGAGAGCCTGGGAATGAATCGCTTCAGTTAAACGCGGAAATGTGAAGTGATGGGCAGCGATGGCCTGACTCTCATCATAAAAAGATATTTGCCTTTTCTTCAGAATCAGACACAAAGCCATCATCTCCCGACACATTTTCAGTTTTGCTTTTTTTCCCTCCCAAACGTTAATGTTCCAAACCATCAAATTTATTTAAACAGATAAACAGGATAAAATAAATTCATAAATATAAAAATTTAGTTTTCATTTAGTTTTTATCCAAACCAGCCAATGCAGAAGAGGCGTTGGTTGTGGGTAAAACATGTCACTTCCTATTTGGATGCTGATCAAAATGGAGGCATTTCCTCTAACAGAGTTGAGCTTCTTTCTCTCTTCTTTTAGTGATTTGAACATGCGATGCACATCTTTTCTCCTGCTGGACTTTATGTTTAGGAAAACTTTGCATCACAAAGGTTTTTCAGTGGCTAAGCTAGCGTTAGCTTTAGCACCAGCTAGTTCTGGACTCCTTTCTTCTGATAATTGACACTGACAATGAGTTTAACACTCCTCTCTGTTACACGTACCGGGCGGGAAGGAGGAGTAAATATTTATCAATTAGTTTAGCTAAATGACAAATCGTCCTCCATTTTTAGATCATATGTCTATTTATTTTTTTTTAACCTGATTTATAGTTACATAGTGATGTCTTTAAAGTGACACTGATAGCATATGTAGCATGTCATGCAATCTGAGACTCGCAGCTCCGCTCTGCTTTTTGGTCAACAAACTCGCTCATTGTGACATAATGTTGGTTTCTAATTTGTTAGCAGATTTACAGGTAATCTAGAGTAAAAAAAAGTATTTGATAGAAAGTCTACTCGAGTGCTGAGTAACTCATCAAATTATCAATCATTTAGTATTTAAAAAACTACATCATCAGTTGGAGCA